TATTTGTAATGACACCAGCCTGTGATGACAGTTACTTCATTGGTTTTACAAACTTTAAACATGTTGTGGTACTACAGACATCTGAAACTTGACCAGATAAATTCAATAATATATTTCTTAAGAAAATCAGAAAACGGCCAGAGGGAAATACATCAGAAGATTCAGCTTTAAATGAGAGAAAGGTGGATAAACCTGGTCAAGTGTCTACATGCCACTAGAGCTTTACTTTACTCTGAACCACTGTCATTCTTTCACAGAAATCCTTTCCAGAAGGCACCATTCACAGCAACTGAGAGTTATCCGCGCTGCTTTGTCACACAGGAGAAACTCCTCCAGCTTTTAGTAATCTATGTGACATACGATGCTGGATGTGACATTAAAGCCACCTGCATGTCCTCGAACCTCCCAGTCCCCCAGCTACGCTGACATCAGCCCAAGACTTCCACCCCATCTTCTCATGGGAAAATAAAAAAAAAAAATCACAGAGCCCCTTTATGGCCAGGTGCTACCCCTCCTCCCCAAAGGCTAAGGCTTTTCTTCTCTTTAGAGTGTGGCTCCAAACTTTTCTCCCAGCCTCTTCAAAGAGCAACAACAGGCCCTCGGTCCCTTGGGAGCACAGAGGGGGTAGAGCCCGGTGGGAGAGGGGCATACGTCACACAGCACGCACAAGAGGCCAGCCGGTGGGAAAAGAAAACGCACATGGAGAAGACAGAAAGAAGGAGAGAAAGAGGAAGAGGAGTCTGCATTTGAAAGGTGCTTTCAGCTTCTAGACAAGGGCCCTCGCTTTGTGAAAACGACAAGAGGAGAAAAAGCACAACAGCAGAAGCAAAAAACGAAGGGGGCGCAAAACCTGCCATGTCTTTTATCAGACTCGGAGGCTGAGGGAATGCGTTTAAAAGCTTTAGGCCTACTTCCAAAAAAACCTTTCTACTTTCAACAAAAAAAAAAAATCAAAGAGCTGACAACCAACTGCGAGACAAGGGGGTTGGGGGCAGAAGTTCCACTGTGATTCACTTTTCAGTTGCATTCTGTTGTCAGATGTACCTTTGCTTTTTGTATACGTTCCATATAAGTTGACGGAAGTTGGAGAAAAAAAAAAGTAAGAGTGTTGGAACTGTAAGAGCAGCAGCTTGGGAAGATTGGAGGTGGAGGGGCTGCTTTTACTACATAGACCCTAGGGCTTCACAAAGGAGGAGGAGCCATCAGTGTCACTACAAACACCTCCCTGCGTGGCCCACTTCAAATGCAGTCTCAACCAACACACAGCCACAGGGTAAACGCAAGAAACAGATGGAGGCTAGGAGGAGAGGGGAGAATTAGAAGAGGGGGAGGGGGATTTTAAGAACAGAAAGGGGTGATTTTGTGAGAAGTACCCATCACAACTGATTATTTTTAAAGTCACTCTTGACGTGCGACAAACATAATAGAGTTCTTTTTCATCTGATGCCAAGAGAAGCAACCTAATAAACTTGCCACCAGAAATTTGAACTTCCAAGTCATAAGTTGTGAAAACTCCATCAATATCTATGTCAGCGGCATAATTCTACGGGGTGCTCATAACATATCAAATTAATGGGTAGGTGTAGACACCATGCTGTACACAGGGGAGAAAGTGTGCCCAGGCTCACATGACCTGGATCTCATGTGTTGAAACCCACAGATCCACCTGCCCACACCACTCACTCACTGTCTGCCACACTGAACTAACGCCGCAACTGACGGCAGAACTCATGAATGGCTACAGGGTCTGCATGGAAACATCATAAAGCCCCCAAGAGCATCTCTGTCTCTCTGTCTATCAGTGTGTGCTCAGCCACAATTTCAATTCAAAGCCATTAATGAAGATGAAACTGCTAATGTGAGCGGCTCTGCAAAGCAATGATTCCTGTTAAAACCAGCATTGCTCCTACAGGGAATACGGTTTGGAAAAAAATCGGATCAAAAGAATTCCAAGCGTGGACTCCCTACTGTTGACACCCGACCCACATTCTCCCGGACCCTGGTTCAGCTGGAAGGGGGGCTCACAGAACAGCGGCTATAAATAACTGTCTCACCAGGTATTCTATACAATATAGACAGCTTTTAAAGTTAAGAGACTTGACTCGCATTCTCTCACCTAAGAGGTTAGCTTCTGTTTTTATCTGAGAGTGCCGTGGGGTCGAGCTTTTAAACTCCTTCTCACAGAGCGTCAAGACTTCTACTACAGTTAAAGCTTGTGATATGGTGAACATTTACTTTACAGAAGGCTATAAATTCATTCAGAGGAATAACACATTATTCAACATTTGAAATTATTTTGTTAATTTAATAACAATATTTTTTAGACTGTATCATTTTAAGTAAAATGATTTTCACACAGAATTTATTCTGGGAATACTCTGGAAACTTTGGGACGTCATAACATTTGAGTAACTCTTTAAGAAAAGCAGCAAATAAACAAATAAAACATTAGCTTGCAATGTTCAAAGACAAATAAATGTTTGAATCATAGCATTTTGCATGGTGTTTACACCACACAAATGTAAAAAGTATCAGCATAAAGTTACTGCTGGTAACTGTATTAAAGCACACATCTCATAAACTGCTGAATGTGATTGATGATCAGATTAATGAGATCATTTATTTAAGGTGCGGGAAAAAGTAATGGGTGCACAGAAATGTTAGAAGCCTCCCCCTTAGCAGTGTCGATGATCAGCACTCCCGCTAGCAAGATGAACATCAAACTACAAAAAGAAATTTTAAAATCAACCTTTTAGAAGAACTGACACCATTTTTTATGTCCTTATTTTATAACTCAACTTTGCCAAACAGTAATGGTGGCACCTTGATGAAAAGGAAAAATGGCTAATGTATCCAGAACGCTCACACCATGTGTGAATAGAGTCAACATGGAATTGTCCCATTGAGAAATCAGACTCCTGGATCCACTTTATAATCATAAAACAAAAGCAAAACACACCCACATAAATACGGATGGTGGAATCACCTTTCTTCTTTTGTTCATTTTCCCTCTGAGCTATAAAAGCCATTAGGCACCCAGACTTGAATTATTTATACAAACTGTACTCCACTAACTCCAAATTGTTCAAAAACATCCAACTCTTTTGGGGGCTCCTGTTCCATCCTGGGCCAAAACTTCACACACCACTGTTGTTGGGAAAAGAAGCACATGAATATTTCCAGGAACAAAGTAATGACTGTTTGTTTTTGAGGTAATAATGTATGGTAATTGCATGGTAATAATGTGATTTTAAATGCTTAAATTGCCCAAAGCGTATGAACCCCACTCAACAAATAAGTGCCCATGTAAATGGCACCACTTTTCTGCTGCAGCAGCATCAACATGCTCTAAAAAAAAAAAACAAAAAAAAAAAACATACTTTCTAACATACTTTCAGGTGTTTCTCATAGAGCCAATCCCAAAAAAACGTCCTGTAGACACGGCTTCTGCTGTGAGGAGGATCCTATTACTACCATATGAAATTTAATGCAGCTTTGGGCACATGTCACCATTAGCAACTTTCACACCATGTGGGTGCAACATGTAAAGCTGGTAAGCTCCCAACACTCCATACACTTGACCGCGCACGCATCACCTCAGACCAGGAGATTCATAAAACGACCACTACTTCTCTCATCACTGACCCACCATGCAACACCATGGCTGCTCTTCTGCTATCAAAACAATGGTGGACTTTAGACCCAACTTAGGCGGGAATCAGAAGATATTTCAGTCACCTAAGACTTCCTCAAGTTTGATGTTTGCCTTCTCTTCCCCAGTATGCCAATGAATCCACATACCAAAGCTTAATTTTTCCAAGAATCCATACTAGCGTGTGCAGTTGTGCCTTGCTTGCCTCCTAACCCATCATTTTAAATGCATGGTATAACATAACCTTAACATGAAAACTGCTGCATGCAAGTTTTGTCACTATAAAAAGCAAATGAGAAGGAAAGAAAAGGAAAAGAACAGTTTATTACACCCATCAACTATGTGTCACCAATTGTAGGATTCCAGTTTTTCAAACTTAAGGAGCTGTTAAGTATTTTAAAAGGACAATCATGCCACACAACATCATGAATATCACTGAAGGTGCTTCTAATGTGTTCAAAATACAAGAGCTCCTGGATTCTGGGCTGCATTCAATAGATAGATGCATTTCTGCTCAAAGTGTCTGGATTGTGGGTGGAGGAAGTGATTTCTCCCTTTTTTTCTTGATGGGCTCCAATTCCTCAAACATGCTGCCTTTGAGGAAGGCATCACCAAACCAAAGAGGCTTAAGGCTCCTCTGAAGCAATTCCAAAGGATTTCCCTACTTGACAACAACAGCAAAGTGTTTATACCAATGCCAAAATACAAAACAAGCATGACCTCCAACATTTCTCCCCAGCCTTTACAATCCACACTTGTCACCAGACTGCCACACAGCAATGCTTTCAACTCAGACTTGATCTACTGTTACCTGAAAAACAAATCCCTCTGATCAGTGCATAGAATGATACCAACATTTGTTCCCTACGTGAGAAGATGAGAGCTTTACCTAAGGGAGAATTGAAATTCCTCTTTTCAGTTTGTCACCATGAAAAAGACAGCAGGCTGTAACGGACACAAAATTGAGATATTCACTTCGAGGGTACCAGCTTGAGTAAATTCTCAGCGTACATTTAAGTCACTATGCGCAGCCAACATAAATAGACACGATCTCTCACTCATTGTTAAAAGTTTGTCCACCATGAAAGCTTTAAGAAAGTTCTTGAGGGACTTTGAGTGCGTCCGTCTAAACACAGACATACGCTGGAGCCTAAATGTAGCCTCACGCAACACCACTGATAAAAGTCTTGGGAAAAGAACAGCAGCAAAACCTTGTCCCAATTATGTGAAACGCGGACAAGCACCGCGAGGTGACTAGAAAATAGTTTAAGAAGAATTTCACAGACATTTCTAAAACCTTACTTCACCGTAGACAGCACGTGAACCTCGTGGACAGCGTCGTACTCACCCGTGCAGTCAAACCGCAGTTATTCTTGTGGTGACAGTCTTGCTGCTCGAGGCGCGAGCTCGTGCAGTAGTATTTCTGCTTCACGAGCCAGTCGTCGATTCCCTTCCTCGCCAAACAGGCATTGACTACAAAACTGTCGCCTGCAACAAAGAAGCGCATTATTATTAGCAGCTACAAACTATATTTCCTCTCGCTTCGCTCATGTTTTCCATAAGCGCTCCATCTTCAAAGAGTCGGACTCCTAGAGCTGTAACGCTGCTCTAATGAGGCAAGAGCTGAGTCTGAAAACTGCTCTGCCGTTCACAAACTGACCGAAATTCTCAGTGACTATGAAAGTGTTTCACAGAAGAGAGGAAAAAACATAAGTGCGCTTACCTTCTGGACTCTCCCTCGGTTTACAAATAGCGGCTTGAGAGAAAGACACAAGACAATGAATACTGTTACTCGAAAGTATCGCAGCAGAGGAAAAACTACAGCTGTGATTTTTCTCTCAGGAATAAGAACCCTTACCATGTTTCGAGTGCAGTTTACCCATTTCTATGCATCGAGTTGGAGTTGAAAACCATCAGATGAATATAATCCAAAGAAGAAACAAAAAAAGAAACAGGCTACGATATCCAGACAGAGGAGCGTCCGTGGAGACCGAGAGCAGACTGCGCTCAGTACAGGACCGTGCGACTGGAGTGCGAAAGCAGCCTTTGATCCAGAGCGCCGCCACTGACAAGGCTCACACAAGGAAATGTACGACTTCCTGTCCACACTTTCAGTATAAAACCTTTAATTAGTGAAACACGTTTGTTATACAAAATAACCAAATATGTAGCTAAATCAAAGTAAAAATTACATGTGACCAACTGATGTTAGGCTTTGAAAAAGAGAGAGCAAATATTTTCATAGTATTTACTCTTCGATAAGTCTATGATACCAACGCAGTTATATATATTAGCCTGCAATTTTGAAAATTGCTTATTTTGACTCACTGTCAACAGGCTAGTTTAAGTGCAGATGTTATGTAAACCATAGACTTAAACAAATGAACCAACCGTTTAGAAACCATCCCACAGCAACCCTTGATGTGTCAATTTCATGTCTCTTTCATATATTTATTATGAAAATTAAATGTTAGAACTTCCGGTGTTAGCTGACTTTTTCTAGCTGACTTGACGCAGCTATCTGAGCTTTCCCGACTCTTGCTTGTCTTCAAAGGCCAGAAGAGGCGTAAAGAAAACCTTTATTTCACTTACACCTCACCCCTGACTGTATGCAAGTGCATGTCAACACACTGAGCGTCGCTGCATTATTGCCAGTGCTTCCCAAGGATGAGGTCTGCATTCCTCCACGGGTTCCTGTAGGGGGTCCCAGGACACTAGCATGTCTGGTGCCAACGACCTCAGCTCTAAGGAGTCCAGATCACATTTTTATTTTATTTGAGAGCGGACAGATATGCAAAGTGCCACATGAAGTTACTTGGAAGTTGTAACATAGTTGTCTAGGAGGAGCAGGATTGACGATGCCTCTATGATGGATTAAATTACCCACTTAAAGCATAACTAAATGATCTTTTATATAATTTAGAATGATTGAGCGTGACATCCTTCTGTTAAATCACTGTTTGGATCAGTTTTTACCTCCCTTCTTGACCTTTAAAGTTGTTCACTTTAATAATGAACCATATAAGTAATAAGAAAATCATATCATATTGGGCTCTGTGGTCAGTGTGCATTTGTCTCTTTGGAGTCTTTGACGTAAGAATACGGTTTAGAAATCACAGTCTTATTGTACTGAGGCAGCAGATGAAAGCAGTCTAAGATTCTTTTGAAGTCTTCAAATATATAATAAAAGACAGAAGCCATGTGCCATTTCATGCTAGGCTGCCAGTAGCTCAATGTGACAGTGATACACACACACTGTGGACATCATCTTGAGAGAAAGAAATGGGGCTGCAAGTTTTTAAGAGATACCACATGAATCTTCTAATCATTACCAGTGTTAATCAACTTTATATGCATGCATTTTTACATGCATCGTTTGCAATATTGAATCTGTGCCTGTTGAATGATCCCAGATTGTCAACTTTGCTCTTTTTGTTTGTGCCATCCTGTGATTTGGGGAACTGTAGAGACAGGAGAAAACACTGATCTCTGAACTGTAATACAATATTTTCTGCATCACATCAAATTCCTAATATGTTTCCTTGATTATTTACTCCCAAAGGTTAATTTCCCAGTGGTGTTAAATATGAAAATAGAATATAGCCAAGAGAAAATATAGCACTTTCTTATATCACTACAGCATTGTCAGTCTTTACGTACTTACAGTGCACTTAATTACATGTAAATAATACACTTAGCAACCAATCTTATCAAAAAAGGTTTTCTGAGGGCTGTCAGCTTGTGCAGATTTGTAGTATTTCTTAAAAGGTAGCGTTTTTTGTCTTATCAATCAAGTTGCAAAAAAAGGTACCATATTTTTTCAAATCCTGGATGTCTAATTTTAGAGCTCTGTGTAATGGTTTTTAAGTCTAAAAACAGAAGATTAGAATCTGAAGGCAGGCTCTGTTCAATTTTAGGACACAATCTTAAAACAACATGTCCCCAAACACTTGTTTAACTGCTGCTTAAATATAATTTGAGTAGATAGCTCCCATAGTTTGATGGTAGCAGCCCTTAAGTTATTATTAGCTTCTCAAATCTCAAGTCTGGAAATCAAAGCTGTGTTTAAGTTTACAAGCCTGGATTTTCCTACCTGTACCCATATGCCTCCAGCACCCACATGTCAAGCACATACTGTACATTGGCAGACTTGAAATTTGGCAGTTATATCTAGTTTATTGATGTAAATGAAATGAAAAGACATAGAAGGCATTTTATTTTGTGGATTTTACATTTTTACCATATTGCCTTTCTTCAAGATATTAGCCAATTATCAATATTCCCACATGAAACTCCTAAAAGTGGCCCTATCTGTGGAAGCACACTGGCGATAGAGCTGCCAATTGTTACCACATGGGAAAAATCTTCCAGCTAGCAAATGTACAACAGTGTCAAGTTGGCCAACTGGTAAGCTTAAGTCGTTTCCGGTTCCTTCTGCCACATACCTCACAAAAGACAACAGGCAGGATCCGTCATTGTGTTGAGGGACCTTTGTGCAGTACCTTATTTGTAACATGCTCATTCCTATTCTGAAGGTATCTAAGGCATAACTATTGAAACAACTCATAATCAGCAATCTCCCCCGCATTAGAAACTTGTAGAAGAAAGCACAATCACAGTTCTTGTGTTCCCCACATGGTGTCATGGAGCCGCCATGGCCCCCTTGATGTATTTACATTTTTGAGGAGGCACTTATCAGCCAGAGTGTAGTCTTTGGCATAGATCAAGCCCTCGCACATACAGTAAATGCCATGGGCTACGTAACCGCTTCATACACAACTGTAAATCCAGCTTGAGCCTTCATAGAGGGCAAGCCAGTGTTGGAGTTTACTACACCAACTACTGGCAGAAGAGGTGTTATAGATTCTGTAGTTAAGCAGCTAACAGCCAAAGTGGACATATGATATGTTTGGGAGGATTTCTGGGAAAAAAGCGACCTGGCCCCATTTTCAGGGAAATATTTTTACATCTTTAGTGGTGAGGCTTTACACTTGACACATGTCCCTAATACAGCCCTCCAGTCGCATTTTTACTAAACAGTGGTTTCCGCATCCTGACTCTATCATCACATGTTGTACCAAGAGGAATCAGGCTCCCCTTTGAACTAGTCTGCCACAGACACACAGATGAGCTTGTTATTATAGCAACTCGCCTGAATTTGCTGGGAAAGAAGGCCTGTCCCTCTGACACACTTCCTGTCCTTTGAAGAGGCCAACGGAGAGATGGCTTTGCGGGCCCTATTTCCAAGCTTCGCCTTTGATGCCTGAGAGAGAGGAGGTGGCGGGGGTTTAAAGCCAGAGTCCCATCTCATGTACGTGAACCCCCAAACCTCCAATCCCTCCCCATTATTGTGGGTAGCAGTTGTTTTAGCTTGACACATCATCAATTCAGAGAATAAATGAAGTAAATATTTGGCTCTCATTGAAGCATTTGTCAAATCCAGTAGAAATCTGTGTCCTGATTTCTATTGTTTCTGTTGTTTCTTCTTTGATTGTTTGGTTTTTTTGGTGGATTAGCTTCATCGCACAAAAGCTAAATTCTTTAGACACCTGCCTGATTGGTGTAGGTATTTATTGACCTGGGGTGGCTCCTACCTTGGTGGCCAACTCTGGCTCATTCCACCATAAATCTCAGCATTCTCCCTGGAAACAGGCATAATGGGGAACATTCAGACGGCCAGATTCAGGGGTTTCTAATGGTTTGTCTGTGTTTATGTCCTTGTAACAATGTTAGGGGCCTCATGCCTGGGGAGACCATAGGAGGGAATGCTGCCTGGTGGTGAAGAGGGGGATGTGAAGTATACAGAGGGAGAGAAGAGCAGCTGCTGGGCGCTTAAAGCTCAAACATGTGACTGTTGCCTTTATCTTGAGGAACAAAAGGGCATAAATGTTGTAAAGGGCAGAAGACAATCGTGACTGAAGTACAGTGTTGATTCCTGCAGCGGTGGTGACTCAGCCCATTGTGGTGGCCCAGCGTGTGATGTGTCAGGCAAAAGGGAAGCGGGGAGGGAAAGACAGCCTGGCATGCGTTTGCCATTCTGCACGCTGAAAGCAATGGAAATATCCTGGATTCACAATATCACTGGACACAGTGGTATATTTTCTGCTTTTACAGTACACAGACACTTTCTGAGTTTTAAAGTGAAGTAAAATCCAATCTCAGAACCGAGACCTTTGATGTATTTATATGAACTACCTGGCAGGCAGCAACTGCTGCCTTTAAGAGCATTTCATGTCTAACAACAACATAAAAACTGTCATTTTCTATGGCGTTATATACAAAGGATACAATAAAAGCATAACAGGCAGGATGAGAGTAATAAAAATCTACATTTTAGATTATTATCAAAATGTTTTTTTTTTGCAAAATGCATTTCATATTAGAGACACGGAGTCTTTGAAATTATTGATTGTGCTAATGGAAAACAGTGAGGGCTCAATAAAATTCAATAAAAGTATATACATATTCAATACTCAAATAATTTTCAAGAACTGTATTTGCAGTTCAAAGAATTGCAGTAACATTTCTAAGCTTGCTCTGGTCTTAATTTGTTTTGTCATATTAGCACAAAAAAATCATTGAGCTGCACAAGATTTGTGAAGTGAAGGGAGTGAGACTTAAATATATGCAAACCACAGAAAAAAAAAAAACAATCTTCAGGATTTGAATTTCTAAGACTTATCTTAATAAGATTGCTTATCCCGTACTTTACATTATTGGTTTGTAGTGTAAAATACGGCAATCCTATCGTCCCACTTAAAAATTCCTTTTTATCTTAACAGCAGCATGAAAACACTTATAACAGGGCCTCAAGCCCACTGACGTTTATTTTTTTGCAAAAAGTGTCTACAGTACAAATGAACAGCGCAAAATGATGTGAGGTAAATAAACACACACGTGAAGACTTTTAGGCCTGCCGCTCAATGACTGGTAATCTTTCCAACGTCAAGA